GAGAGAGAGAGACAGAGAGAGAGAGAGAGAGACAGAGACAGAGACAGAGACAGAGAGAGACAGAGAGAAACAGAGACAGAGACAGAGACAGAGAGAGAGATGCCAAGAATGGAACCCAGGGCTTCATATATACCATATATGCTAGGCAAGCATCCCATCACTGAGCTATTGTCCCAGCCCAACTGAAGGCTGTTTTTGTTTTTGGGTCAAGGACTGAATTCAGCAGATGTGCACACTAGGAACACACTCCATCATTCCAGCTCCCTAGCACTTATCTTTTAAAACACTACTTTCACTTCTTTACCCTACCATCGCCTTCTTCCCACTAGAAAGAATGCTCTAGGAGATACAGGATGCAGAGAAGCCAAGGCAAGAGAAATGAAAAGTTTGAAGCCTGCTGGGACTACACAGTGAGATTCAGGCTCACAAAACAAAACAAAAACTACCTAATACAGATTAAAGTGACAGGAGGTACTGATAACCATTAACATTGATTCTGAGACTAAAGAGTTATTAATAAAGCATAAGACATGAGGAAAAAAAAGATATAAGTTCACTTCTGAGTATTTGAAAAGACACTTTAAGAATTATTTTTTAAAGCTAGTCCTGAAAGGATGGGGACATAGCTCAGTAGTAGAACACTTCCCTAGAATGCACAAGGCCCTGGTCTAACCCTAGCACCATGAGAAAAATAAAAATAAAGGCTAGTGTTGATGTGAAGAAAGAACCTCGTACACTGTGGGAATGTAAAATAGTACAATCGAGGAGGAAAAGAATCTGGTAATTCCCTCAAAAAGTTAAACACATAATTACTATATGTTCTGACAATTCAACTCCTAGATTATACCCCACCAAAGAGAAATAAAAACATGTATCCACACAAATACTTGAACACAACTGTTTGTAGTAGCTTTACTCAGATGAGACAAAAAGGTAAAAAGAACCCAGATGTCCATCAACTAATGAACAGCTAAATAAAATGTGGTATATATCTATGCCATAAAACATTATTTGATGATAAAAAAGAATGGAATTCTGACAATATGCTATGGCATGGATAAAGTGTGAAAACATTATAGCAAGGGTAAGAATGCAAAGGGGAAAAGCCCACACAGATATGATTTCAGTTCTACAAAATGTCCAGAACAGGCAAACCTATAGAGACAGACTGGTGCGAGGAGGGAAACGGAGAGTGACTGCGAACGGGTATGGGGTTTCTTTGGGAGACAATGAATGTTCTAAAACTGACGGTGATAATGGCTGCACAACCCCGTCAGTATATTAAAGCACACACACAGTTCAAACGGGGGAAGTGCACAGCACGTGGCCCACACTGAAAGCTTACCTCTCACAGATTCTGTAGCCTTCATTGACACTCACTGCTTTGTACTTCACATTGCCTTTGGTCCGCTCCAATTCCCAACACCAGTCCTTAAGTGTGTCAAACATTACTGTATGGTTCTTGGGATCAGTGGCTAACACAACAAAATCAGAAAGACAATAAAACCTCTTTGTAAAGCACTCGTATTTTAATTATGTAGAAGTGCATCCTTAGGCTCCAGTTTCCTTCACTCAGCCCATTTTTATCCAAGCAGAATGAATTTACTGCTTAATCCTCTGTTCCAGGTTTGTGGTCATTAATCCAAATTTATGACCAGGGCTTTCTTCTTTTCTTTCTTTTTGCTTGGCAGTACTGGGGATCGAACCTAGACCTTTCCCACTAAGCTATATCCCCACTCATGTTTGAATTTGACAGTGTCTCACTAGCTCACTAAGTTCCCCAGGCAGGGACCAAATTTGCAATCCTCCTGCCTCAGCCTCCCAGAGTGCTGGCATTATAGATATGCACCACCCTGCTCAAGTCTGAGGCCATCTTCTTTATGTTGCAAGAGATGCTGTTCTTGTTCTACTCCTTGCAAAAGTAATTTACAGCTCCGTTCTGTTATCTAACTATGAGATAATTTATACAAAACAAAAAGATCACATGAAGCACAAAAGCTGAAGTAACGTAAGTATTTTTAGCCCCACCAATATGTGCATAAGATGGCAGACAGATTCAAACAGCATGTCAGATTTTTGCTGTATCCTTCCATCAGATGTGGCTATAGGAGGACTGGTCAGCAGGACTCGGTTATTGATGGCCATAAGCAGATCAGACAGCCACAGTGAAGGCCACATCACAGTGACAGTACAGCTGCTTCTAACCTGACCGTGCACTACCTGAGGAACAAAATGCCCGGAAATACTGTGCTTGCGGCCCAGCACAGGCATCCTTGATCTTCCTCAAGGCCAGCCCTGCTTGCTGGGGATGATGCGCCTCCAAATAATCTCTGCACACCTAAGAAGCCAAGCCCTCTTGAATAACAGAGTGTTTCATAGAACTATGCCGGCTACTCCCTTCAATAAAGCCAGGTTATCACAAAATTAATACCAAGCTGGGCACAGAAGTGAACACCTATAATTTCAGGTACCTATAATTTCCTGAGGCAGGAAAATTGTAAGTTGGAGGTCAGCACAACTTATTGAGACCCTGTCACATATGGGGGGAGGGGCAGGAAGCTCAGCCCTCCCTGAGTTCAATCCCCAGGATACGAAAATAAAATTACTGAGAATCATAGATGATTATACAGGTTGAACACCCTTACTCCTAAAATCATATCCAAAATATTCTGGTCCTAAGCATTTTGGATAAGGAATACTCAAATTAAACAGCACTTCCCAAGATCCAGCAGTGTTCTATGCATATCACACTTTATCGTCTATTTCTCACAGTTCTGCAGGACAAGTAATGCAACAGGCAATGTGATTTCCTCCATGTGACAGAGGTGCCACAGAACAGTCAATAACTCAATCAAGTCACACAGCTAGGTAACAGTAAAACTGGAATCCAAGCCTAGGCAGCTCCAACAGAAACACCCACAAAATACTAAGTGGGGGAAACCTCTTCATGGATGCAAGCAATTATAATATTCCCATTCAGTAAATCTGGCTATTTTCTTAGCAATACAGGCAAGGTTTCCCTTAAAATACTATGTCACACACACTTAGGACCTTTTAGCCAAAATACATTTGGAAATTATTAAAGCAGGGAACAATTATGATTATTCAGACTACATGGCACCCACTTCTACAAACTCTTATTCAATGAAAAAGCAAACTGGCCATTGATCAGCTTTCAGCTACAACCTTTACTTCTCAAAAAGGAGGAGGTTAGAAGACAGGAGAAGGATGGGATTAAAATAGAATAAACGTGCTACATATCCTGGACCTCTGGCACAGAAAGCCTGGGGTATCAAGGTAAGGGTTTTGGCAAGCTAATCAACATATGTTGGCAAGTCCAGAAGTTGTCCTATCCTAGGTCTACACCAAGAATTGAGATATAAGAGCAGAATTCCTAAAAACAGAACATGATTTATCAAATGTAAGCCCAATAAATGTTGATATAAAATATAATAAGCCAGGCGTGGTGGCACACACTTGTATCATTCAGGAGGCTGAGGGACGAGGATCACTGTGAGTTTGAGGCCAGCCTGCACTATATAACAAGACCCTGTCTCAAAATAAGTTAATTAGTTAATTATAATAATCAAGCACAGTCCTATAGTCCCACTGCTTTGGGGGTCTGAGGCAAGAGGATCACAAGTTTGAGCCTAGTCTGGGCAACTTAGCAATTTAGGGAGACTCTGTCTCAAAATAAAACAAATAAAAAAAGGGCTGGGGGTATAGCTCAGTGCGAAGACCCTGGGCCCAATTAGTACTTCAAAATAAGAAAAAAAGAGAAGGAGGAAGGAAAGGTGGAAAATGAAGTCACATTTATATAATGCCATACTGCCACAAGCTCTATGCCAGCACAGCCAGCACTTGGACATACAGCTACAGCAGAAAGATCTATTGTTCACAAAGGTAAATTACTCAAAACGGGACACATTTTATCTTTAGTCTAACATGAATGTAAAGTATATTTTATGTTAATTCTCTGAACATAATCCATCCTGAATATTATGCCATTTTAGTTTCTGTTAACTCTACAATTAATGACCACACGCAACACTTTTATAATCTTCACAAAAATTCAAGGGAAGCATTAACACTGTTGTCTTTAAAATGAGAAAACAAAGGCTCCAAGGGTCAAGTGTCACTCCCCAGGATCACAAAGCCAGAGAGTGGCTGGGCAAGATGTAGGCTCATGAGGATGGACACCAAAACCTGTACGTTTTAAAAAGGTAAATCACTTGAGTTCCCCAAATGCCAGCTCAGCACAGCCTGCCTTTCTCTGCAAGAGTGGGCAATTCCATTAGAGGACTCATCACTCAGCTGCCCTTCCTGTTTCACTCTATGCTGCTCGAAGGCAAGGATGTGGTCCTGTTCACCTCCCAACTCCACGGGGTCTGGTCCACAGCAAGCACACAGTAAATGTTTAATAAGTGAGTAGCCAGTGACAAAGCAACTCCACAGTCCAGAAAGCTTACATGCAGTCCTTTTAAACAAACCTACCATCACCCGGACAGGGGACTCGGGATCATTAAACATCAACTTCACATTAGGACTAATGGGCAGAGCTGGCGTGGCAGTGCACACCTGTAGTCCCAGTACTCAGAAGGCTGAGACAGGAGGATCGATGGGAGTTCAAAGTCAGCCTGAATTACATAGGGAGACTCTGTCTCAAAAAACCAAAAGAAACAAAATGAAATAGAGTAACAAAAGAGCAAATGGACAGACTGAGGAGAAGAGGTCGGACATCTGTGAAAACATGTTCATGCTAGCCATTGTTGATGGCTAATTCAGATGGTCAGGGTTTCATACTTAAAATATCATTCTCTTTTTTCAGCAAACTAAATGGAAAATTTCACACTCCATGTTTTCTCTACCAAACCAGTTTTCTACAACGTTTCTTTTAGATATACAAATGTCTTATTTGCTATAAAACATGCTCTGAACGCATAAAAACTTTCTAAAATTCAAGACATTCTCTAGAATCTCATAAAATGAGATCAAGTATATTTAAGTGAAAAAAGAATACAGAGACAAATACAGTAATTTTAGCTGGGCGTGGTGGTACACACTTTTTTTTTTGGTACCGGGAATTAAACTCAGGACCTTGCAGTTACTTGCCAGGCAGGCACTTGTACCACTGAGCTACATCCTAACCACAAATACAGTAATTTTAAACCTGTCTCAACTTTGTTTCTCTATAGTCTCCCATTCATAGTATACTATATTAATTTTATCTTTGAAAAGAAGTGGCCAAATAAACAATCCACTGCAAAAGGCAAGCAAACAAGCTGAGTATAGTGGTACATGCTTTTAATTCCAGCACCTGCGAGGCTGAGGAAGGAAAATTGCTGTGAGTTTGGGGCCAACCTAGGTTACATAGAGAGCTAAAGGCCAGCCTGAGCTACACAGGAGACCTTATCGCAAAAAAAAAAAAAAAAAAAAAAAAGAAAAAGAAAAAAGCAAGCAAACAAACCTAAAAGGTAAATTAAATAAAAGATCAAAGTAAAAACAGAAAACAAAATCCTCCTAATGAATCATTCAAGCAAAAGAGAAGAAAGAGCTCAAGAAGAGTGGAGGGAAAAAACCTCAATGGCTGATGAATGGGTTTTCTCCTGGTTGCAGGTAAGAATAGGGAAGATTCTGCCTGTCCTCAAATCAAAAACCCAGAAAATACTTACCTGTGCTGTTTTGTGCGGCAGTTGCATAGGAAAACAGAAATAACCTTTTAAGTAGCTTAGGAGCCTGGGTATGATGAATGATCCCGCTGACAATCTAGGACAGAACAGACCAGTGCATGCTTTTGTTATGCTTTTGACAGATAAAAGACAGACAGCAGCCAAGTTAGCAAATTCCCAGTCATGCCAGGGTGCTCTGAGGGCAGCACGGCAACCCTCGTTAGGTCTGGATCTATGACTGAGATCTTGGGATCAAGCTAGACTCAAAGAATACTCTTTTGTTAGGCTAAGAGACCTAAACTTCTAGGGAACACTTTAAAACATAACCTAATTTCTTAAAAACAACCTGATATGTGATACACTTACAGCTGATACTAGACAATAACCAAGACACTAAGCTACCTATTTGTGGCTTTTAGTACGTGGATGATTTAGAAAATTCAGTCTATAGCTGGGCATGGTGGTGCATGCCTGTAATCTCAGCACTCAGGAGGTGGAGGCAGGAGGATCGCTGCAAGTTTGAGACCAGCCTGGGCTGCAAAGAGAGCTCAAGGCCAGCCTGAACTGCATAGCGAGACCCTGTCTCAAAAAGACCAAAAAAAAAAAAAAAAATCAGTCTACTGTGTTTTCTGATTGTCTACTATGTTAAAGAATATTTAGAAAAATGATTAAAACCATTGTTCAAAATGAAGTAACTGCTTTCTCAGAAAATTTTCTTTATCTGTATCACTCTTTTCAAATTCAGAATAGACACTGGAGTCTTCATTCTAATAGAACTATCATACATATGAAAGAAAATTAAGGCATTACCTGTAAATGTACATATTTCATTGTAAAGAAGACAATATGCATATACTGGCTACCTGCTAGGTCTCCCCTAATGATTTACCATGAGGAGTAAATAATTATCTTAGTGAAAGATAAATTTTTTTTTTTGAGATAAGGCCTTGCTATTATAGTTCAAGCTGGCCCTGAAGTCACTACCATATGTAGTCCAGACTGGCCTCAATCCTTCTGCCTCAGCCTCCTGTGTGCTTGGGTTTACAGGTATGCACCACCACACCTGGCTGAGAAATCGTGAAGTTACCTGACCATCAAATTCATACAGCTACTTTCTGAGTTCATCCAGTTACAGACCTCAGTCGGCTGCTGCAGTCCAGGGTGATTATGGTTACATGGCCTCCAACGGCACACATGTAACTTGGCTTTGCTCACCTGACCCGTGTGCTGCCCCCCTCCTGTGCACAATCACTACCTCCCAGTGGTAAACTCATTTACTCCCAAAAGCTGGAGGTCAGCACTCTGTTTGGGGTCAGGCTGTCAGAAATGGGGACACAGCATAACTTCAGCTGTCACATCTTTCTCTTTATTCAATTTCCTTCTACCTTGGTTTATAAGTTTCTACCCTTTCTTTAGTGGCTCTAGTAATAAAAACATGACATCACTACCTCTCACATTCTCATCCAACAATGGGGGACTACAATCAATTTCACCTTCACACAGCAAAAGGCCTCCTTCCACCTTCAGGCAATGTAAGCAAAAGCTACAGTCAATGGGGAAACCCTGATGGAAAATAAAACCCCGAACACATGCAACTAGTTACCCTTTTGACTTCCTCTTCTTTTGTGTACCTCAGGCAAAAGTGGAACACTCGGAGATCTTTGCAGTGGATGATGAGTTTCTCAGGGTATTTCTTCAGTTGTCCAAAGAGAGCTTTTTTTTTCTCATCGAACACTACAGATCGATAATGAAATCATAGAGAGAAATCATGTTACCCAGAAACAGGTAATGCTAAAGAAACAAAGCAGGCTGCTCACTTGTTCTAAGGGCAGGAGCCCTGGCTCCCCGAGAGCACTCCGGGTTCTTCCCTCCTCTGCAGTAAGCATGTGATTCAAACAGACTGGCTGCTGTCTCCAGAAAGGACTTCAATGGCCTAAAGAAAATCCAGCTTCAAAAGCGGAGATAAAGGTGGAATGGAGAGGGCTAGGGACATGCTTTCATGTAGTCAACTCCTAGGTTTATCACTAGGACCCTCCAGACACTTTCCTCCTTGTCCCAAAGCTTGGATCCAACTCAGCACCTACTGGTGTTGAAAAAATAATAAATGGCTACTGAATGAATCTTTAAAATGCCCTGAACACAAAAATGGGGAAGAGAAACAGAAAGAAGCTTGGAAGGAGAGGCCTGTTTCATTAGCAATGAAGACATCCTAATGTGAACACAATAGACCTTTACAGACCACCCTTTAAAGTAAAACCACACAGCTACCACAGGTGGTAGCTACCACAGGTGGCAAATAGTCTGATCAACATCTAATGCAGGACGAGCTTGTGTGGAGCATTAGAACAAGCTCCAAGATCAAGTCGGAGCTCCTCCAATTAAGCAACCCCAAGTGAGCTACTTCTCACCTCAATTTGCCATCCATAAAACAGATTTAAACAATCCATTTTAATAAACTATAAAAGGCCACAAGAACATTTTCATCATTTGTTATACATTCCAAGGATGGCAACCACCCCAGGGAAAAGAGATACTTACCTCCATAAATCTGATCAACACAGTGGAGGGTAATGTCATTTTCTCCTATAACCTTATTCTTAAACTGAGATTCCTAAAAGATTCAAAAAAAAACAACTGTGACTCCTTTCCATGCTCTGTCAGACATTTAGAAGGAGAGCAAATTATCATTCTGTACTTGCATGCCAACATAAACTGAGAAATACACCCACGGATCCCTAAGAAAGGGAAGACCACGAATGTGAGAAGAGCTCATGAGCACTGATATTTCAAAGCTGCGCAGTTGCCATTTCTGGGTTGTTCGCAGGCAGACCCACCACGCCACCAACCCAACCCACCACTCTGACAAGTGTGAGAAAGTGACATGCAGTTTAACATTTCTTCATACAAATCCAAAGAGGCAACTGACAGAGCTGCGAGTGGCCACCTTTGGGAAGAAAACATGGGTGATTCAAGTCTCTGCAAGGACTCAGAGCAAGCTGCAACAGTCGCAGCAGCACAGCAGGCCAGACAGAGAAGCAGCAGCAACGGTGCTGGTCTGGGAAGCTTGGGGGGTCAGGATGGCAGGCACATTGTGACAGAGGGGCCAGGGCTGGGGGACTGGGCTGCCATAACCTCCAAAACTCTCTCGTGGTGTGGGCCGTTCTCTCCTTCAACGGCTCACTCCTGAGCAGGCACAGCTCTCACAAGGATACTTCTACTAGGCTCAGATTAAACACAGAGTAAACCCCATTTCCAGGGTCACCCTTGCCATTAGTTTTATTACCAAAGAAGAGTTCAGGACAGAGAAAACATGAGGAACAGGAACTAGTATATTTGGAAAGGTACTGTTCTAATGAGTGACTTATACTGTGTTGAAACAGGAGAAATGAGAGAAAGTTCATAGTGTCAACCTATGAGGTCAAAAGCAAGCCACTATCATATGAGGCACAGGAGGGAAATTTCTGAACAGTCCTGCAGCTGACAGAGGGTTTCTGCCTTTTGTACTTATATGTTGAGGGGAGTGAGATGGAGGAACTGAGAAGTTGGGAAAGAACAACAAAGCCGCAGCTACACCGTTCCCACCAAACTCAGCCAAATCCAGCTCATACATACACCATTATCCAGGGCACAGTCATCGTCGCTCAAAAAGGCAATCTTAAAGTCTGTGCAGACGAGTCTCCCATAGACGCCGCGCTGACAGGAATCTTCCTGCACATACTTCAGGACTGTGCTGGCTTCACAAAGCAGCTGTTCACCTGGTAGAAATCAAAACAAGCCCTCCTTAATTCCTCAGGGAACACGCAGCACAAACATCAAGATCTTTCCTTGCTCTATTTACCTAAGAACAAACACAATACAACACTTCAGAACATGCCACTTTTCAGAGTGGCAGGAGCTGCAAAATTTAGGAGAGAAGATGAAGCAGAGAGGGGAAAGAAAAACAGTTCAGAGACACCTTCATGCAGGGATTTATCTTCTCACTCTAATACAGTAATGGAAATTTCCAAATAGGTGGTAATGATCTCAGCTGCACAGGCACAGATCCTCAGGTTTTTATGACTTTGACCCCAGATGTTCCAGAGCAGCAATACCCTAAACAAGCAAAGCTCCCACAGCTCCCATCCCCTCTTCCTCTGTCAGCTCTAGGGCTTCCCAGCAGCTTCCTCTGACACAAGGGGTGCTGCAGTCTTTCACAGCAAGACCACCTCATTCTGGCTGCACACTGGGAGGATGAGAGGAAAAAGGAGGTCAGAGGTTAGCAGGAAAAAAAATTTCCTTTCTTCACTAACAGTATTTCCTTTCAATGTCACCTTTCCTGCCCCATCTGTAGGTGGCCAGCCCATACGAGAAGCTATAGCTTCTGGACAGACAGTATACTTCTCTCTACCGTCAAAAAAAATTAAGACTGGAGTCAGACAGGCATACTCTGCTCCCTGGAGGCAAAGTAGCTTATGATGTGGGGATGTCTGGGTTAGGGCAGGAAAAACAGAAGGATACTGGAAAATGAAAAACTAAGTGTGATACTATGTACCAAAAAAAGAAAAGAAATTTTCTTCTCATCTAACAGATAACATCTTTCCCTCAGGATTTCTCTACCTTTAAATTTACATAGCTAAGGTGGGCATGATGGTACATACCTGTAATCCCAGCACTCAGAGGCTGAGGCAGGAGGATTGCTACAAGTTCAAGGCCAGCCTGGGCTACACAATGAGTCCAAGGCCAACCTGAACTACATAGTGAGACCCTGTTGAAAGAAAGAAAGAAAGAAAGAAAGAAAGAAAGAAAGAAAGAAAGAAAGAAAAAGAAAAAGAAGAAAGAGAGAGAAAGGAAAAGAGCTTATGAAAAAAAGTTCTTTTGGATTAAGAAAATGTGGAAAAAGAATACACAGCAGACATGATTTTCCATATATGGTATGGATATTTCATCAAGTAGTTTCTGTTGCTGAACTCTGAAGTGGTTAAAACCTAACTGCAGCTCTAGTCACTCTTTTGTCTCAGAAACAATACGGGGCCCTTTATAATAAATGAGCTCAAAGTAAAACCCTGACAGCCATATGGCTGGCAAAACGGAGCATCCCTGGTCTCAGGGCTCAGATATACCAGCAGAGACCGAAAAGTGAGGCCACCCACCAACAGATGCCCTGGGAGACCCAGGCAGCTGCTCTGTTCCAGGACAACAGGCGTGGGCAGCAGGGAGAAAGTATGTGGTGTAGGCCTCTCAGGGAACTGAGATTTTCCTGACTAGAACAGGGTCAAGTAGGATAATCTGGAAAAGGCCTCATTCGTTTGTGAAAGAAGTGAGAATTTCTCAGGTTTATTTTTATCAGTTTGAAGGACAGGGAAACAAGAAAAATTCTTTCCAGATGTTGTAACACTCAGAACCAGGTGTGCAGTTATTGAATTAAAAACCTTATTATCTTTGTCCAACTCATTACTATTACATGCCAGAGGATGAAACAAAGGAGTTTATATATAGCAATTCTAAGGATGACATCATTTATCACTGGCTTTGAGCTGCACACAAGGTATGATGCTAACATGACTATTACCTGGCAACAAGTGAAGAGTGACTTCCTTCTCAGTTACTTCCTTTTCGTTTGTGTGAATTTCCTAAAACAGAAGAACAAAGAAAGGGTCATGCTTTCCTTTGTTTAAGGGCTCAAAATAACATAAAAGCATGCGTTCTGAAGACACACAAAGCCATCACATACGCAGGAGCTTTGTGTTTATTTGATAAGCTGCTTTTTTAGAACATGTTTTTAATGAAAGGAAGACAAAATTCTAACAAGTTAGGGACACAATCAATGTATTAAACTAAGTAGAGCTGGATGCAGTGCTGCATTCAGAAGGCTGAGACAGGAGGATCACTATGATTTCATGGCCAGCCTGGGCTACATAATGAATTCATGGCCAGCTTGAACCACAGGGCAAGACCCTGTCACAAAAAACCAAGACAAACAAACAGAAACCCAAAAACCCAAACCCCAAATGAAACCAAACAAAAAAAGCCACAACAACATACACTAACTACCAGCTGTCCCCAGCATAAGGGTAGGAGTGGGCAGCCCTTGTGTAAAGGAACAAGTTGAGGCGATGCGTAGGAAAATAAGGGAACTCAAGCACACAGTCATAAAGGGAACAGAAGAGGCGTGCCATCATAATTTCTCCCTCCCTCCAGTGAGAATCAAAGGTGGAAGCAAAAGAGATTGCATACTCTTAGTTTGTTCTGCTTTATTCTTTTTTCTTTCTTTTGAGACAGGGTCTCACTATGTAGTTCATGCTGGCCTTGAATTCACTATGTAGCCCAAACTGGCCTTGAACTCCACAGGATCTTCCTGCCTCAGCCTCCAGAGTGCTGAGATTATAGGCATGCGCCACCACACCCAGTAATTGTGTGTTCTTGGGAGAAAAGGTTTAGAGACAAAAACAGGAAAATGTTGAGTATATCCATAAGTACAAATCCAGGTACTCTATAGAACACCAGGGCTCAGTACAGACAGCTGCAACATTCACTGCCCATTCCAAGATACCTAAAAACACAAGACAGTGCCAAGGCTTGTACTCGCTTCTAACACGGAATCAAGGCTTGCTGCTGTGTTACTGTTTCTCAATAAACTTGTCTTCCAGTTCCTCTATTGAGTTCAGTGTTCGCTGGACATTCAGAGAGAATTAGCAAACCCTGCTTGAAAAGTGAGGAGCATAAATGACTGTTAACATAGCAATCAGAGAGACAGGGCAGGCCTCCTAACACCACCTACCACGTCATCAATGAAGTATGCTTGCTGAAATATTTAGCCTCAATCTGCTTGAGCTTCTACGGAATTCTAATTGTAACAATTTTATATGAAACATTGGGCCTGGCAAGCGCAAGGCCCTGAGTTTGATTCCTGGTAACAACAACAAAAAGAAACACTAGGTCAGAAGAACATGTTAAATGACACAATGGGGATGCCATCAGTTAATTCTGACTGGAAATTTCTACAAGACACAACCAGTTTTGTGAACAAATAAAAACTGATTTATTTTATTTTTGGTAGAATCAGTTTTCTGAATCTGTTATTTCGGACTGCACTATGGCATTAGGAGAAACCTGGCTATATAGAAACCTCACTATGTAGTTTTCCCTTCTTGAGGAAGGGAAAAACAGCCTGTATTATGGCTGAAATAGAATGTCATGGCTTTCGCAGAGAACTCATTTTGAACATGACCCACTTTGGAGGTGCCTATGATTTCTATCCCAAGAGAAGACAACAAAATCAAGTGCCTCTGGGGTGGTACTTCTCATACTTGAGGCAGGTTAAGTCCACTGGGGAGCATGTTACTATATACAGTTACAAGCCTAGGATACAGCCTGGGCCTCTGGTTTTGTAAGCCAGCCCCCTTACCCCCAATTCTGATGCACTGCTGTGGGATTTAAACAAGAGGAACTGTTCTTGTATATGTAAGTGCTGAGTGTTTTGGTAATTTAGAAATTCTCATTGATAGTTTTTGTTATGTCACTGGCAAAGAACTAAATTAAAGCACAATTATTTTTAACAGATTCCACCATCCTTCTCTGAGGAGAGATCAAAGCTATTCATTATATTCAATCAGCTGTTGGAAAACTACAACAATCATCTTGATTAGTGCTTGCAATTCAGTCCAAACATTACAGCCAACTTGGGGAAGGCCAGGCTATTGTTACGGGAAAACAAGCATTATCATCTACATTAATTCAAAGCTATCTACGTTAGTTTTTTAAATGGTTAGTGAAATTTTTTCTTTATATTCCAGGATCAAAGTAACATGGCAATATCTTTTAGGATCCTGCCAAAACTCCTTTCCCTCAGACCACTGTTCCCTGAGCCCACAACCTCTTTCTTGCAATGAACCATCTCATCCCTAGCCAACTGCCCCGGGAAACTAACCAGCATAGTGGTCCCACAAGCGTCACGTTAATCACTTTACCTCTCCTGTTCATTGGATTGGAGGGCTCAGAGATGCAATCAAGCTGGCTGCTTATACTACAGACTTGTAAACCAGGCCACAAATATGGGGAGGCAGAGAAAGCTCTTCTGCCAGAATAAGACACAGGAAAAGGCTAAGTAGAGACAAAAGCATGCTCTCAGACACACAAACAATAATGGCCTGGATTTCTATGGTTTTCCAGACTTCTGCGAGGCACACCTTTGGCACAAAATTCCATGAGTCATATCTGTATTTTTATAATAAATTCCCTTGTTAACTGTTACTTTTCTTCCCCTCCCTGTGCCTACCATTCTAAATCCTAAAGCAAAGCCACACTTGGCATGGTGGCACACTCCTGCAATTCCAAGACGCTGAGGCAGCAGAACTGCAAGTTCAGGCCCAGCCCAGGCAATGTAGCAGTTTAGTAAGACTCTGTCGCAAAAAATTTTTTTAAAAGGGGAGGGGGCTGGGGACGTAGCTTGGTGCAAAGTCCCTAGGTTTGGTCCCCAGTACTTAACCACCCACTGCCAAAAACAGACACTTAAATGATTATTATAACTGCTAAATAATTCTTCTTCAGATTTACAGAATCCAGAATATCTGATGACTCTCAGAATAAAGATGATGTTTAACATGAAGAAAAGTAATTGTGTTTGTGTAAAGTAGTACAGGAGCTGAGAATGGGGACTCCGGCCTATAATTCCACCACATGGGAGGTTGAGGCAAGAGGATCATCTGGATTACATTAGACCCTGTCTCAAATATAAAACAAAAGAATGAGTACAACAACTAGCCACAAAAGGTCAAGAACTACCCTGATTACGGTATTCTGAGCAGAGAAAAGCCACAAGCACAGGAAGACAAGACCCTACTCGGTACAGTCTGCACCTCCTGTCCCTGTTACAACAGTGCTCTGAGGATGACAGCCCAACTCATACCTTTTCAAGACTGGCCCTTAAGGGGCTGGGGATTTAGCTCAGCAGCACAGTGCCTGCCTGGCAAGCGCAACATCGTGAGTTTGACTCCCGGTACCGGAAAAAAAACAAAAAAAAAAAGACTGGCCCTTCAATAACATCCTTCCCACCAGCACTCACCTCCAGAGCTGGGTTTCAAGAAGCAAGCAGATGGATCTGGGTCTGGCAGTAGTAGGGAGACCAATGGGGAGGAAGAAGAGGGCAAAGTGTTTAAGCCAGTCTTACAAAACGGCAAGTGTAGAAAGTACAGGAGTTTAATAAGTGGACAAGCAGAGAGAAGAGGAAAGAAATGAGAAGGTGCAAGCAAGTATTACTTCCAGACAAGGGAGAAACACAGCTAAGGCTGGATATAGCCTGAAGAATTCGCGTACTCTTGTGTAGCCTGTGGGCAACAGGGAGCAACCAAAGGATTTTTGGCAGGGGAGCAAATACACACATATTATTTACTACCTCCAATAAACATTTGTCAGGAAAAAGCACAGGACAGAATCAGGAACCTGGGCGGGTCTTCGCTGTAAGCCTTGGTTGCACTGCCTTGTCTGAAAGAATGGAATGAAAAGCTGTACTGCCTGTCTGGTGAGGTCACACACAAGAGACGCCACTTCAACATGCTTTGAACTTCAAGAGCCAAGCGCTGGGCATGGTGACACATGCTGTGACCCCAGCACTTGGTAGGCTGAAGCAGGAAGACCACCCCCAGATGTGAGTTCAAGGTTTTGGGTTTAGTCCTCAGTACTGGACAGAAAAACCCCATTGAAATTATTGTTCCCAGATTAATTTCATCCAGCCAGAGGGGCAAAATTCCAAGAAGAAACATCCCTAGATCTCCCTGAAGGTTCTCTGGAACATAATTTCTCTCCACTACATTTGGCACCAAAGTGGTAGAAGGACACAACGCAGATATTTCATTTCCTCAAAGCTGCCCTACTCTTCTAGAATGCACATTTAATATGTGTTTTCTCTACTAAATAGAAAATCTAAGAATGAAAAATGTATTATCGTATTAGGTGCAAATTCATTTGCAACAACACTTCCCTTCTTGTGGAAGTGTTGCTATTTTTAACATAGCAAGTACTAATAACTCAGGTTTTTGTTTTCCCCCACGAACCTCCAATCTCCTCTTTGTGTATGTATTAAAAATAAATACAGCCAGGGGTGGAGGTGCATGCCTATAATCCCAGCACCTGGGACACTGAGGCAGGATTGCTGAGTTGAGAGCAGCCTGGGCTACAAAATGAGTTCAAGGCCAGCCTGAATTGCATAATGAGACTCTGCCTCAAAAAGACAAAAAAAAATTTTTTTAATTTAAAAACAACACAGATTTTGGTGCCACCATCCAAATGTGGCTTCTTGTGACATCTGGCATGTCATGTAACCTGACTGAGCTTTAAGTGCCTCCTGGATGAAACAGAATCGATCCTACCCAATAGGAGGGCTTCCAGAGATGGGTATGCACACGTCTGGCAGGAGGACTCAGTAAATGGAATTGCTGTAACTGCTGAACACTGGAGTATCTGTGCTTCTTGATTTCCTTTCTTCTTCCATTTTCTGCTTTCCTTTCATGAGTAAACAAAAAATTCAAATAAAGTATACTACATAAGAGTTGCAATTAGGGCTGTGGATTTAGCTTAGCGACACAGCGCCTGCCTGGCAAGCGCACAGTCATGAGTTCGATTCCTGGTACCAGAAAAAAAACAAAAACAAACACAACAAGAAGATAATGTGTAAGAGTTGCAATTAATCAAGATGCAGCCAAATGAATACAATAACTTCTATTTCTCACAGTTACCACAGTAAATTAAATTGAGCCTACTCAAGAGGTCCCTCAATTCTTTTTTTCTGTGGATCAGAAACCCTCTAGTTGGCTCTATTTCCGTATGATTCTGACTATCTATTACACAGGAATATCTGCAGTCATGGAGGTGGGGTAGCATTTTCTATGTATGGGCTATGTTTTCTAGAACCCCATGACTTCTGTTTTGCACCTTTTCAACAGAGTACTCTGAATGAAATACAAAACCAGAAGAATAGTTTGTTTGTTTACTTACAGAACTAGGGATTAAACTCAGCCTCAGCACTAAGCCACATCCCCAGCTCTTTTTTTTTTTTTTTATTTTAAAAACAGGATCTTGCTAAGTTACTCCAGCTGGGCTTGAACTTGTGATCTTCCTACCTCTGCCTCCCAGAGTCCTGAGTTTACAGGCATGTGTAGCTCTCCATTTTACTGAGAACAGACCAAAGAGCTAAAAATTTTAACAAATGGGGGGGGGGGCGGTGGTGTGTGTGCACTATGTAAGCACCCAAACACTGGAATTTTAAATGCCACAGTACTCAATCATCACTAATATATAAACCTCCTCTGATTAATATTTCAAAAAATTATACACTATGCAATTCTTACTGATAAGCAACTCAGGAAAAAATAAGTACCACCATCACTACCATCAATCACCCCTCTCCAAGATCAAAATACACATCAGTCTTGAGAAAAGAAATAACCTGGAGAACTCCAACAAATCAGGATACAAACTGGAAGCATAAAGAACACCTTCCTTCAAGTGCTGCTTGTTGCTTCGGGTGAGTGAACGTAGCTGACTGGAGAAGAGGGGCTGTGCGGACAACACAGGTGGAGGGGTGCCCGTGTCTGGAGGAGCCGCGTGCTGGATGTAGATTCCAGGGCGGGCGCCTGTCAAGATGGAATTCCACTTGTGCACCCTACTCCTGTTAATGCTGTGTCTGCGGCTGTACAAACTGTCATCCGCACCGGCAAACTGGCTGGACAAGTGGTTACAGGCTATGCAACCCGACCTTTACAAAGGGTTGAGAATGCTACTTCTTCCTTAGCACACCAGCATGACTCGGAAGTCACCTGTGGGGGCTGGGGATGTAGTTCAGCAGTATGGCACCTGCCTGGCAAGTGGGAGGCTCTGAGTTCAATTCAGTACAAACAAAAAGTTACTTGAGGACTGCAGAAATCGTAATTGTCCAACTGGGGTCTGGGGATTTATCTCAGCGGCAAAGCACCTGCCTGGCAAGCGCAAGGTTGTGAGTTCGGTTCCTGGTACCGGAGAAAAACCAAAAAAAAAAAAAAACAAATTGTCCAACTGATGACTGCCAACATCTTCTGTCCCTCTTTCCAAAATGGGTACAGGGCCAGCCCTTAACATGGTAGAGAGGTGAGTAAAGATAACCACTTCTTTTTATGGTAACCATTTCTTGAGCCGTAAGTGCCACGTACTGTTTAATGAGCTTTATACTTATTACTCATTTAACCCTCAGCAAGCCGCAGAGTTATGCCCATGAGCATCTCCTCCATGTTACAGATGAAGGCACCAAATGCCACATGGCAAGGTGGAATTCAAACCAGGTATGCTGGTCCAGTCTGTGCTTTCTTTTAATTTTGTGTGTATGGTGCTGGGGATCAAACCCAGGGCCTTGTGCATACAAGGCAAGAGTTCTACCACTGAGCCACATCCCCAGCCCTATTTTTTTAAACTCATATTCTATTTAATTGAAGGATTATGCAATGAATTTTAAGTATATGAAATCACTCATTTTAAATGTTTTAAAATGTACGTATCTGTATCAGTTTACAAAAGTGAAAGTACCACCCACCTGCAGATATTGAATAAAAATCTTACATATGAATGCCACGTCGTCTTTTAAATGTGAAATATCTTATAAAATTCTTATTTTTGCCTAATAAAAATGTTACTCTCCACTTCTATAATGTAAAGACCTATTACCTTCAAATACCTTTCACCTTTATTGTGAGTACCTTAGATCAGAGACTGATTTTTTTACCCAATTTGGATGTTACTAATTGGGAATTCAACTGGCTTATGACTGTAATTCACATCCATCTCTGTCAATATCTTTTATACAAACTTTAACTCTTCCTTGGTATTTTTGTTTTGCTGCCTTTTCTTGGTTTTTCATTTGTTTTCAACTCCAGGAACCTGCAATGTCTATAATCCATTTTGTATACAACTCAATGACAAATTGACTTATATGAAACACCTCTTGAGGCAGTAATTACTGTTCCCAATTCAGCATTTCAAATATACATACCCTCTGCAACAAGGGCTTTGGAAAACTTCTCCTGACGTTATCTGTATTAACATTATGAGCTAGCTTGTTAGTTTTTTTGTTTTTTATTTTTTTTAGAGAATAGAAAATTTAAAATGATACAGAATTTCAAAACAAGATGACAGGAAATTAACAATGGTTGTTATATTGCATATTGTTATCTTCAAAGTAGTTGCTCAGGTTACCAGATATAGGCATGCAAAACTGATCAAACCATAAGTACTAACTGTTCCTTTCAATAAACCAATAGAAATTAGTAGTATTCCCACCTTCTTTTCTTTTCTCCTTTCCCCCACCCCAGTTGTTCTTTCCTTTTCAGCAGTTTCTCTCCCTTTCACAACGTCTATTGTACCTTTCGGATTTTATTTACTCTTTCAATTTCTGTGTCATTTTCCAACTTTGTCAGATTAACATTGAGAATGCCTTTATTGTACTTGTGCTGCCTATAAAGCATGTTTGTCTAACATACACTTGGCTTAACAACATTCACCTTTATAATATTACATGCCAAATATAAAACAATATTTATTGGCCCAATACACTAAATATTTGACAGTTTTAAACTACATAAACTAGAGCCAGATGTGGTGGCACACGCCTGTAATCCCAGTACTTGGAGGCTGAGGCAGGAGGACCATTGCGAGTTTGAGGCCAGCCGGGGATACAAAGTGAGCTCAAGGCCAACCTGAACTGCATAGCAAGACCCTGTCTCAAAAAAGACCAAAAAAAAAAAAAAAAAAAAAAAAACAAACCTACATAAACTAGTGCCAGTGTGGTAGTGTACATCTATAATCCCAGCAGTCAGGAGGCTGAGGCCCAAGGATCACCTCAAGTTTGAGGCAAGCCTAGGCTACATAGTGAGCTCAAGGCCAGCTTGAACTACATAAAGAGACCACACCTCAAAGAAACAAAAAGGCCAGGTGTAGTGGTACCTGTTATCCCAGCACTTGGGCAGGGGTGGGCGTGGAGGCAGGAAGGTCCCCAAGAGTTCAAGGCCAGCCTGAACTATATATCGAGACCCTGTCTCAAAAAGAAAAGAAAACTCTAAAAGGTTCACTATCACTGGTCTAGGTACTTTTTTTTTTGTCTTTTTGAGACAGGGTTTCCCTATGCAGTTCAGGATGGCTTGAGCTCACTTTGTAGCCCAGGCTGGTCTGGAACTCACAGCAATCCTCCTGCCTCAGCCTCCCAAGTGCTGGGATTACAGGTATGCGCCACCACACCCGGCTATTCTTGAAATTTTAAAAAGTCATGATTTTTTTTCTCATTAAATTTTAAAGGTACCCCATGAGCCTTCTTCATTTGCAGGTCTACTTTGTTTTTCAACTCTGGAAAGTTATCTTCAATTAGTTCCTTAATTATAGTTTCAGCTTCATTTGCTTTGTCCTGTTTCAGGTATTCCTATTACAGGCAGATTGGATCTCCTTAATAGGCCATCTACATCTCTTTTTCTCTTTTTTTACGTTAATTTCTTTGGACTTTTCCTTTGCACTCTGAGAAAATTTCTCATTTTGCATTTACACTGCAATTTTATTTTCTGACTGATGCTGCTTACATGCTTCCTTTTAATGGAACGCCACGGATCTTGAATTCCACAGGTCACATACAACCTGCTGCATAATTAAGCCCACACAGTAATGAACTCTCTTGTAAGATGTTTAATTCTTTCTGGGTGATTGCTGTAGAAGGGTACATCAGTATGAAGAGGACGCATTTTCTCAATTACTTAGCTCTAATCCTTTCTTCTAAACCATGAATTTAGGACCTTTTTCTTTCAATGGCTCTATGCAGTGGGGTCCAAAAACAGTCTCCCCAAGTATGGAAGTTAAAGAACAACCAAAATGGCTCACGGCACATCATCTTGCTAGTCTGTGTTCCTGCAGGATGCTGTACTGCCTCTTACATGGAAAGGGGGAATGAAAATAAAGAGGAAAAACAAGCTCCCCCTGAAATCAGGGTGAAACAGGCATTCCAGAAAGCCCCAGAGGAAGTTTCAGTGATCACTGTGGAAAGACCCATGGAGGCTAAAGGAAAAGCAAAAACACTTATTCCCCCCACCACTCACTCACAAGTAGCAGCTAAGTGACACAGGCGAGCTTCATGGAGAACAGAACGTTGGGGCTTTGTCTACAACAGCTGAAAGAAGCACCCCTCATGACTCCATTGTGCGCTCTCAGTCATCGGTCTCTTGTCACCCAACCAACCCTGGAAAGTTCAACAGGAATCTTCTGCATTGCAGCATTCCTGTTAAGGGGCAGCTCTATGCTTCCCTCCAGGAACATACAGCCTAGCAGACACCCTGAGTCCCCTCCTCTACTTCACCCTCAATACCCAATTTAGCACGGAACTCTATCAAAATTACCTACTAAATACGGAGTCTGCCCCCCCCAAAAAGTATGTATGCTTCAGAAAAAGAAAAATAGTATGATGTTTTTTCAACAGATGGTGTTACCCTCCTCTGGGGAACCCTAGAGGATGTCACATGTCACAGAAAACCCACTACACTGTCAGCCCTTAAAGAAGAAATTGAAAACGCATCTCAAAGACCAAGGTTCCCGAAGCAGCAGATCACTAGACTAATAAATGTCTGGAAGCTAAGGCTACCACTTTGAGCACCTCTTATAGTTGCAGAGGTCAAAGGTAACTTGTGTTAATCTCATCAGGTCTCACAAAATTTAGCATTAAAGTATTTATCCAAGGGGGCTGGGGATTTAGCTCAGTGGCACAGCACCTGTCTGGCAAGCGTGAGGTCGTGAGTTTGACTCTTGGTACTGGAAAAAAAACAAAAAACAAAAAAAAGTATTTATCCAAGTTTTCTTTCCCTGAAGTGTATACATATTTTTTTGGACAACTGTGTGCATCTCCATTCCACACTCCTCTCGTGTCCCCCCGCAATACTCTATTCCAAGCTACTCTCATTTCTGACCTAGACCACAACCGGTCTACCTGCAGCTAGTCCTTTCTGTTCCACTCTCCACCCCAAGGCAGGAGTGACCCTTCAGAATACATGGGCTCTAGCACAGCTGTGGGATGAAGACAAGGCCCTCCATGCCTACGAGCGCCTGCACCACTTGCCCCATAACTACTGGCCTAGCCAGGCCTCCTACCCGCACTTCCTGGACTGTTCGCCAACAGGCCTCCCTTCACCTCCCACACCTGCCCAGCACCCTCATCCTGAGTCCTTCTCAAGGCATGCATCCGCTTTGGAATGCCTTCCATGCTCTCGATCTGTACGTTCCGTACCTGTCAGACCTTAGGCCTAGGACCATTTCCTCAGGAAAGTGGTCTGTTTCACCAGACTCTTAAAGTCCCTTGTCTCCTAGCACGTGCTAAAGCTGCAATTTCATTTGTTTAATTATTTAAGTATAGGGGCTGGGGATGTGGCTCAGTGGCAGAGCTGTTGCCTTGCACACCCAAGGCCCTGGGTGTGAGCCCCAGCACCACAACAGGAAACAAAAAATTCAA